AGGCTTTCAAAGCTACGGGGACGGTGCGGGAAGTAGCGAAGCAGATAATCCGCCAGGCTGTCCTTCTCTTGGCTTCATCTTTGGGTACTTTACCGTTGGTGACGACACGAATATCAATACAACGGCTCTCATATGCAGCCAATTAGTGGAAGAAGTCCAAACGGAGATACACTTCCTCCTGCCAAGCCTGGACCTCGACCCTAGTAACCCACCCGCACCAGACGAGAGCACAGTCAGGTATATAGCCAATCAGACTGACGCACTCCCTTACCGCATTCAAGCCGCCTTTGACAGCGAGGTCACAGCATACAACAGTACCAGCGCGTTCCAATCCGGCACTCCAACAGCACTAGACCCTTTCTTCCAAGCTCTAATCTACGGCCAGGACTACGTCGATCCTACCTCGGTCGTCGGGTCCGCTAACACCGACCGCCTGACAAACGCAACAAATCACATATACCGCAGATACATGGCTCAAGCCATTAACAGCAATATGCGGCAAAACCTGAGTTCTGGAGATCGGACTGCAGTGGACGCCCTGCTCATCAATCCGAACAGATATCGCCTTGTGCAGGACAAAGCCTCCAAAATCGTGCTCCAAGTGCTTCTGGCCATCATGTTCGTCTGCGGCGCAGCTGCATACCTGCTGACGGACACGAAAGGAGTGCTGCCGCATAGTCCGACGTCTATTGCCGGTGTAGCTAGTCTACTGGCGGGGAGCGAGCTGGTCGATAGGATTTTCGTGCCAAAAGGGTCGGAATGGATGGACGACAAGGAAGTGAAGAGAGAGGGTATTTGTAAAGGGGAGTTGTTTGGTTTGGGATGGTGGGAGGGCGCGGAGGAAGGGAAAGGGGGAAGGAGGTTTGGAATTGGTATTGGGAAAGCGGAGAGAAAGATCTAACTTCTATTTTTGTGTTAATGCGATGCTTCATTCATTCTTCTCTTGGTGTATACTTTATGCATAGGAGGTGACGTACCTTTTCATCTTTACCATCCATAAGCAATTCCAACGTGTCACCGCCGTCCTTGTCAATCATACTCACCAAAGACCGATCGATCCAATCAACCCCGCTCTGTCTGGTGGCTGGGACATCGACCCCGCCCACCTGCCTCGCCCTCCATCCCTCCCCATTCCAATTCCGCCGCTTCGGCCGCCGAGTCCCTCGTCGCCGAATCACGTAAGATGCCCCACGCAACGTCAACGCAGAACTTATCAAAACGGCTCCATCGTATTTGACGTGCGCCTCCGAGTCTGTACCCAGCCGCGATGAGATGAGCTCTGCGACCCGTCGTCCGTGACCCACAAGCCGGCATCTTCTGATCGCGAACAGTCCGGCATACTACAAGCTCTCACGAGTCGTGTACAAGCAGACATCTATCTGGAAAGAGTAATGTTCGCGAGCTCAGATTTGTTGCAGCATGGTGCCGGTCCTATACCAAAGGACTACAGAATTTCTGAGGTTGTGACTGTCGACGGGTCAGTCTTGACTGCGTGGGCGCCTCGATATCACGTCGAGCCTGCCCGATTGGGTTATGTGGCCGGTGACTACCGTGTGAAGATTATAGGGTTCGGAGAAAATTCTAGGCACAGTATTCCGCGCGGGACTCCTACGCCTTTCAACTATCAAGCTCCTAAGTTCATTTGTGACTCTCAGCTTGGCCCAAGCGTAGGTATTTGGAGCTGCGGTTGTACCATATGAACTCCTTCAAAATTTGCAATGTGGCGCTCAATTGACGTCTTGCGAAGATATCCGAATTAGTAGATGTAGAGCCTCTGTTCGAAACCCGGTTTGAAGAAATAGATGAGATTGTCGACGAGTGGATTAGCGTCTTTGGATATTTGCTAGAAGAATTGAAGAGCCACGCTGCTCCTGGTGCAGCTGATTGTGAGTATATGTGAACTCTTTCTTCAATCACTTTTTCCTGTGGCTTGCGTCCCGGCTTTTGGCCACGATCTTTTGCTCCAACTGAGATTTCAAAGCCTCTGCGCCTGAGGAATACAGTGTTCTCGATGCGCTGCACAGTACCATAAAAATGGTTGTGCCTGGAGCAAAGTGGTTCTCCGAGCCAATATTAGATACTTTTGGTGATCTGCTCGTTTCAATGACGCAGTATCGGCCATCAGACCGTCTTTCGGCGTCTGACGTGCTGCAGCATACTTGATTTCAGTGCAGCCCATCCCTAGTTACAGTATCTGAAAAATAGAACTTTCAATATCAACCTTGATCTGCCTAAATATTTCTTATTACACTCGCTTTGATCTATATACCTTCTTTTGAATAAAAGAGAGGAGAGCGGAGAAGAGGATAGAATCTTAGAAAGAAGCTGATATTTAAGCGGAATGAAAACCCTTCTACAACAATTCGGAAGAGTGGGCATTCCCACACGTAAATGCGAAACAAGGCATGCGCTTAAATTAGACAGCTTTATACCTTTGGGACCCAGCCCGGGGTTAGTCATGTCGCAACTAGTTTTCATGAGCCTGGGTCTGAGTTGGCAGGGGTTTGGAGTGAACTTCACAGAGAGACTCGCCTGCGAGGGCGTGCCCCTTTCAGACGCATCAATCCTCAGGATGAATGTCGCCATAGCATCGAGAGCAGACTCTGGACAGACGGTCTTTCCTGTCAGATCAGGGAGGGGACTTCAGATTTTGTGTTGCTTGCTTATGTGGAGAGCTCCATGTCTGATCCAACGTAGTGAGTTCTGCTTGCTTGCTTGAAAAGAGCATCCATGTAGCATTTTCACTCTGTTGCCCTCCTAATTCCCAGACCGTGGACAGTGGCAGCTTGTCTGGCTCACCGGATGTCTAAGTCCTCGGTGGTAACGGTATACTGGCCATGGGGCGGCGGAGACACGGAGAAGTATCAAGAAATTCTTGAGAAGAGGCCATCGAACTATCAATCAGTAAAATTTAGTGGGTCTTACAGGCGACTCGATGATCGTGACATCCAGTGGCAAAATGAAAGAGACCCAGTATGCAAATCATCCATCAGCGCTTTTGTCTCACAGGCTTTCAGATTCCAGCATGGAAACCTTTCCATTCTTCTCTCGCCTGTTGGAGTACCAGGGGCCGGACACGCATTATCACACGAACCCCTCTCAATGCCATGGCATCTTCCTCCTCGCTAGACCATTGGGATCTCTATACCCTTCCTCTTCCTCGTATCCACGCCGACCTGCTGATTTCTCCTACATGCAGGCAGTCTTTCCACGCCTGGACCATCCGAAATTTCCACAGCATCAGCATCAGCGCCGCCTGGGCCTGGTTCGTCTGTGATGATCAGCCCCTGACCACTTGACGCGATGTCTACTGTACATAAGATACCCACTCTCAGAACAATTCTTCCAGTACTTCGACTTTGGTGCTCTTACCCCATCCAACTGCTCACGCTCATGGTAGAATATGACAGCGATGGTGTCCCTTCCATTCGACTGAGGAGGTGCTTAGCGATTTCCTGCCATCGGGGCCCAATGGTGTTGTGAAGACGCATCGAGATCTCTTTTTCTGTCCTCTTCCAGCGAGGTTTTTTTCAGCCCAGCCCTTTTCATTCTTGACGCAGGGATGTGAGAATTTGATCTTCTTGTTCCGTCTATGGATTGGTAAGTCTCCGGGGTGGTTTGATAGACGGCGGACTTGGAGGTTGTGGTTGGTGATCAACTGTCTCTTGGGGTGGAGATTCCTACAGAATACTGCATCACTACTGTAATTAAAGTACCCATGTTATCACCGAAATTTCTTCAGCAACCTACAATCGAAGGGCGGCTGTTCACCTTGCCACCGTGATCGCCTTGGGCATCATTGATTGGGTGTGGCAGTCGTGTACGACTCCTCCACCATGCACTGCCAGCAACCACACTGGGCGATAAGAGTGAAGTCTCGTTCCTCGTCCCTCGTCTCCACGTCTTCCCCGCTCCTCATCAATTAACATGGGACCCGAGTCTCTCCAATATTAGTGCACTTTCAAGAGAATCTCGAGCCTCATTTACTCAAATTCCCAAAGTAGTCATGGGAACTCGTAAAAGCTCGAAAGCAAAGAAGACGTTGTCTCGAGCATTGACAAAGAACAAAGGACATGCTGTAAACGTGCTGTCATCGCATGCATTTTAGGGTTGTGGAGGGGCTCTCTCAGTTTCATTACCAAGGTTTCATTTTCGAGAATGATTAGGCAAGCCGTTATTGGTCAGAATTGTGGTGCACAGACGGCAAGAGAATACTCCGTCCCTTTCCTCGCCTCAATCTTGTGCCACTGTGTCGAGATCAAGTCGTACATTGAGCCTTTTAAGATCCGTTGGCTACTAAGATCAGAGGCAGTGACGGGCACTCATAAAGGCTCCAAGATGAAGAATGCATTGACTTCTCCGGTAAGAAAGAATACATCACTCTCAACATCAGCATCGAAGAAGCCTACTTCGATCGCACAAAGATCCAAATCAAAGCACTTTTCCCCTGCTTCTCCTGTCGCTGGAGAAGTCAAATTTATCAAAGCATGGGAGGAATGGGAGGATCAATTCCTTATTGCGCTTCACAAAAAAGGGAAGAATAACACGCAGATTAGCCAACACTTGCCTGGTCGATCCGAAGGGGCCTGTCGAACCCGACGTTGCAGGCTCAAGCTCAGAGCTCGAATGTTAGTACACAACGAAAAAGATGCACTTGCTTCCCCTGCTCCCAAAAAGTCATACTTGTTCAAGGAGTGGGAGGACTGGGAGGATCAAATCATCGTGACACATCACAACGCGGGCGCGACTTTCGTGAACATCAGCAAAATTGTGTCTTCCCGCACAAGACATATGGTGAGATCTCGAAGGAAGAAGTTTTTGGAACATCAACCCCAGAATATCGTCGCCCTTCAAACGCAGGCTCCAGGCACACGACAGGTGAATTCTGGACTCTGTGGAAGGAGAAGGAAGATGAACTCCTGAAAGCCCTTCGTGCATCGGGAAAAATTTGGGCTGACATCGCTACACAACTGCCAACCCGTTGAGCGAAGAGCTGTAGGATGCGTTGGCGCGAACATCTGAACAAACGCCTGGGGCCACACAAAAAGAATGGGCTGCAATGGGAAGAATGGGAGGAGCGGCTCCTTGTGTCTGGCCACTACGCTGGTCTGACTTGGAAGGAGGTCACTAAGTCGATCACTGGGCGTATGTTGTTCGGCTGCAGGAGCCATTGGTGCGAACACTTTCGCTCAGCAGATCAAGACGAACCCTGGACTTCAGAGGAGCTTGCGCTGCTCGAATACCTTCGCTGGGAGGGCAGCACCTGGGATGAGATCGGTCAAGAACTTCCCGGGCATTCGTCCAACGCCTGTAGAATGCAGTGGTGTAAGGAGACAGAGGGGATCCAAGGCCCCTCCAGCCATCAGGGACTCAATGATACTTGGTCAGGAGAAGAGGTCAAGGTTCTGGTCGCCCTCCACAACACGATTGGTCCTCGTTGGCAAGAGATCTGCAAACACATTCCTGCCGTACGGAATTTGCATGTAGAACATGGTTTTACACCAAATGCACAAAGGAAGACGGAGTACGCGGGCCCCCCTTCAGAGTTTTGGAAAGGATTCTTCGAGAGTAAGTTGCTCCCCGGAAATCTTTGTTCGCTACGATGCTTCAAGCTGATTCCTTAGATGGACCAGGGCCTGGCGACATTGACTCGGACCTGAAGGAGGCTACCTCTGATACTCAAATCTTAGATGGATTCTCAACACCTAGACTCACGGGAAACCAGCAGTCCAGGGTGGATGCAAGGACGCGGAAGGTCATTGACATCCCAATGGTTTAGCGAGCAGAACAATGACATGCCCGTGTGAGGCTTTGTATGATAAAGTGTGTCCGAGTATGGGTCGTAAGTCATGGGTGGAGAGGAGGATCAGATGATGTCCTAGGAGATCAGATCACGGCTGAGCTTGAAAATTTCCGAATCCTTCTACGCAACCCTTACAAGGCTGAGTACCGTTAGTCTGGTGAACCTTCGTTACGCTTATCAATAAACAAGCATCCCAAACCCAGTCCTTACCCTCACTATTATGCATGTCGTTCTCTATCCAAGCTGATATCCGAGGCGAGTTTTACACTTCTGTAAGGACGAGAACTCGGGCTATCGATGCTGTTGAAATGGTCTCAGATCGCAATAAATCGCAAAATGTTTACAAGCTGCAAGTTTCATCTGACAGCTTGCCAGCAGCCTAGGTACTCCCCCACTATTAAAGGAGGGATGGCCTAGGTTAGAAGCCTGCTTTGATTGAATATCTGTATGCGACCTTATAGTACATATGCTAGCTCGCAACGTGATTATGACCATGATATCCTATCACCCTGCATTAGCAACCTGCAATAAAGGCTTTGTGAGAGACTTACGCTAGCATGATTCCCGCCCCAACAGCCATAGCGACGAATTGAGATACTGTCTTCTTCACTTCTTCCCTTTTGTTCGGGCCGGTTTCCAACAATTCCGGAATAACTGCCACAGTCCCAACGTACAAGAATGTCCCCGCTGTAAAAGGCAGTAGCATGTCTCCCCAGCCCAGTCCAGTGCCAGCTAGACCCTTGCTCCTGACCTCACCAGACATAGCACCCTTACCCGATTTCCCAAGCTCTTGGACAGCGATGCCCAAGCAGGTGCCCAAGAATGCTCCCAGAGCTGTGACGAATTGCGCGCCCATCGCCATTTTCTTAGAGAAGCCTGATTGGATTAGTAGAGCAAAATCACCAACCTCGTGAGGTATCTCGTGGAAGAAGACGGCAACAGTGGTCGTCGCGCCGAGGGTTGGAGAGGCGTAGAAGGAGGATGAGAGAGCAAGACCATCGGTAATGTTGTGGGTGAAGTCCGCGATTAGGTTGAGGTAGGCAGACAGCTTGATAGATGCTGAGGGTTCTTTCTTCGAAACTTTGGAGGGCTCTGCCTTGGATGAAGGCTTGATGAGTGCTTGAGGCGCTTTTGCTTCGCTCTTTTCCCGAGCTGGTTGCCGAGGCCTGACTCCTTCTATGATGAACTTTGGTTTGTGGCCTTTGATTACTTGCGCCGATGCCCCTTCAAATACTCTACTGGCGCTATGGATGAGTGTAGTGGCTTCGACCAGAGGGGCGCGAGAGTCTCGAAAAGCTGCTTGATAGGCTTTCCAAAGAGCGATCTGCATCACTCCACTGTCTGGATCTTCCTCGAGTACTTCCTCCAGCCAGCGATTGGCTCGCTGAGGCTCGTCGCGCGTCCACAGCTTCCGAAGTGACTCAGCAGGCAGTTGAAGCACACTCCTATCGCTGGTAATAGACTCCGATACGGACTTCTTCTTGCGAGACTTTACGCTTCCGTTTGCGGCCGCCAGCTTTGCTCCAGTAGCCACTGCGGTTGATGGTGCCTGCTTTTTCTCTTCCTTCACTTCCCCTTTGTGACTATGGCTATGATCGTGGCCGCCTTCACCTCCAGTTGCTATCCGTAGGCTCTTGTCCATGGCAACGAAAGTCAAGAATCCAACCATGATCGCGACACCCAAGAGCAGATTCTTGTTGGGCTCTACCATCACAAAGCGCGCATGATCCGGAGCTGCTTCGCCTAGGAAGATCTCGGGTAAGAGGTGGAAAAGCGTGTCTCCGAGTAAGCCTCCAACGGCGAAGGCGACCATGACGGATAGGGAGGAAGGATCGATGTTGGGAGGGCATAATGCGAGGAGGAAATCTAAGTGATCCGGCATTAGCACACGGGGGTGTCATCAGGGCGAGCTGGGGTCACTGACTCGGTGGACCAGAAATGTATAGAGTAGCAAGGAGAGCATTGACAGCTGGAGACCCTGGGAACAGTTGTTCGAAGATCTGTGAGGTCCAGCTGGAAGTCTCAGGGTTCGTTGCGCGCTTGTGGATATTCAACTCTTGGATGATCGGGCATGCCTTCGTACAGTCAGTTTTTCTAGCTCTCGGCCGCTCTCAAATTTGTGTGACTAGTGAACGGATGCCTACTTGAATCGCGTCTTCGATCTCCGGAACACTCAATTGAGCGACATTCTTTGCAACTACAGAGCCTGCAATAGCTGCTACAATGACGGTAGACAGTAATGGTCGCCATCGTGGTCTCCGTGCTACCGCCATATTGAAGGTCTTACATGCAGCCAATGGTCCAGAGTAGAGTGTGGAATATGAATACCTAAGATCACGGCTTTTAGGGGTCCGATAGGGCTGAGAATCGCGCCATTCCGTTTTAGTCAAAATATCTCCGACTCTTGAGATTTCGCTCTTGCTACAAAGTCATCTTGTGTCCAAATCTGTCTCTAGGACCTCAAAAATATGGCGCGTCCTCTACAGAAGAAGAAAAACAAATCCTCCCTCCACCGTGTCCGCCAAAAATCCAAGTCAAAACACATCAATATCAAAAGTAATCCTATTGTCGCTGCGAACTGGTAGGACTACCTATCCTATCGTCTACAAAGAAGGCCATGACTCAGTACTTTGCAGGGACCAATCCCTCACTCTCTCCCAAAACTACCGCCGTCTAGGCCTATCCTCCAAACTCAACGCCCACACCGGAGGCACAGAAGCCAAAGCGAAATCTACAAATTCAGAAAGCGGGGGAAAAGATACGCTATCAATACCAACATCCCACAAGGCCTCAGAATTGGGTACGTCCGAGGTTAAAGTGACGAGAGATCCCAAGACCGGCGCGATTGTCAGTGTACATCATGAAAAGAGCGAGCGGGAGAACCCGTTGGGCGACCCGTTGAACGAATTCAGTGATTCTGGAGACGAGATGGTAGAGGGAAGCAGCGGTAGAGGTATAATTCCAGAGTTGGAAGAGCAGGCCAAATATAGCAAGCCAAAGCGGCCTCGGATGCAGAGCCAGCGAGAGAGGGAATGGATAGAGAGGTTAGTGGAGAGATGGGGTGATGATTGGGGTGGTATGGTTAGGGATCGAAAATTAAATCCACAACAGCAGAGTGAAGGGGATTTGAAAAGGAGGGTAGGGGTCTGGAAGAATGGCAAGAGAAAAGGACAGCAGGAGGGACAGAGCCGGGAAATGGAGGTTGGTTGAAGGTGTTGTATCAACGATTAGAGCAGAGATCGATACATTGGAACACTTCAATTGATGACTAGCTTCCTATGCTACCTATGTCACTGACGACTTTCCTTCTCACCATCCTCACCCACCTCCGTCTCCTCCACTCGCCCATCTTGCTATCACCACCGCCCTCGTCCAAATCCTTGGACTTCCCCTTCCCTATTGGCTTCATCTCATAAGCCTCTTTATCCCCCGCAAGATCACCGACCCATCTCTCCCCTTCAATCTCTACCTCAACACCCTGCACCATCCTGTCCTCCACCCACTCCCGACTCGCCAGATCGAGCACCCATTTCTTATCTCCCCACTCCCAGCCCCTTGGAGGCGCTACATCCTCGAAAAATCTCGTTCCCTTTGGTCGATCACCGGATATACGCTGCGGTGAGAGCGGATCGTAGGGTCCGGGGCTGAACATCCAACTTTCCCACTCGCCATTCTGTCCACCATTTCTGCGTTGGAGTTCGAAAATCTCCACTTCACGTGTCTCTGGTGGAGCATCAAGGACTATGTCGTGCGATATCCACGCATCGAGCCAAGACTGCGCGGTCCGCTCGTGAGGTGCTAGATGCTTTTGGTGATTGGAGAGCAGGAGCTGCTGGATGGAAGGATGACCAAGAGCGATTGCTGTCCAGCATACCAGAAGACAGACAAGGCGCCAAGGTAGGAGGTGAGACGTAATGAAAAGAAGGCAGGTTGCAACGAAGAGAAAGAGGAAAATAGTAGAAGATAGCGGCTCGTTAGAGAAGTTTGTAGGTGGGGTGACGATTCGAAGCACGGCATCGTGAATGGTGCTAAAGTCATCCATGCAGTTCTGAAGATCTCGCATGTTGCGGAAGAAGTCTTTCGACATCTCCGCAGCGGGCTTGATGGTGCGTGGTGGGGCTAGAGGTGGGCCGTTCATAGAGTAAGATGTGGTATGGATGGAAGATACAGGTGGTGGAGGATGGCGAGCGAGGTAGGCTGGGACCATGACAAAGAGAAGTGCTGCAGCCACTGGTATAACGGAGAGAAGATAGGGATCTAAGCAGACGAAGGTGCAAACAGCGAGGAGGGAGAGAGTGTGCGTGGGTTTACGCCATGTGAGGAGACGCTCAAGACGGTTTTGGAAGACAAAGACTACTCCAATCCTAAAGCCGTATCAGCAACTTAGATCCGATATTTGCACAGGAACGATTACCTAGCATTGAATCGGCGAAAGTTGTTTGTCATCAAAGGAAGAGAAAAGCCAGGCCTGTTGATGTATTTCGACGAGCGCACATCAGGGGCCAAGTCCAGCTCTTCGACCTCTTCTTCCGGTATGACCTGCTGCAGAAGCCTGCGGCGCCGACGTTTAGCACGCCATGCTCTTATGGAAGACCTCAAGATTGTCATTGCTCACTTGGCGAAGAGACGGTCCTGCAAAGAGTACCCATAGTCTTTACTACCTGAGCCAGCATCTTGAAGCTTTTCCTTCAACTTGTCTTTCGAGCCACCGAGTGACTCTTTCAGCCTCTCACGTTTGCCTTTTGGATCAGATGATGGGCTGTCGCTGCCTGAGACAGCGATGACTGGAACAGGCTCCTCCCGATTGACGAAGGCATCGGCTGTGTATTCGTCCATGGTTGCAAGAGTGATCAGGCATCCAGATTGCTGATCATGCGCGATCTCGGGCGGTGACAGGCCCTAAAGAAGCCCTGTATATGCAGCTTCGCTGTGGTGCTTTGCGGAGAGTTGATGCCAAGCCATCGGAAATTTACCACCCCGGTCTCACCCGCTTTAAGAGCTACCCAACCAATGTCATCTTGCGGAAGCAGACTGCTGAAATAGAATCCTTTCCCCACTCATTGGGAACTTGCGTCCTTTGCTAGCATCGTCGAGACGTTGGTGGCTGCATTCGAATTTGAGACACTCTCGAGGCTTGTAACGAGACCGCACACGCCTATCTTTTGCGGAGCCAGGTCATGGTCCGACAAAGCGTTCTGAAGCCCCAGACTACGCGAAACGGGCTGCTTGTCTCCCCGAGTCCCTCGCACAGGCCTATCTTCTGCAGAGTCGTGTCAAGATCTGACCAAATCTTTCGAAGCCCCAGACTGGACGAAGCGGGTTGTACCTCTTCCTGAGACCCTGAGCCATTAACGGAGGCCCTAGAGGAGGCCAAAATACCTTCCAAGCAACGCAACATCTATAGGGTGCACGCTATCTACTTGTACTCGATCTAGAAGTTTGACTAGGAACCTAGAAATGAAGTCCTTAACGCGAAGCCTGATAACGTTCTTGTACAATATTTGCGCGAAGTATTTCTAATTCTCCATTTCGAAATTCTCAAATGCTACATGTCACCCATATCCTGCTCCGTGTCATAGGTGCACTAGCGAGCCACGCAACCAGAGGATTAACACAGTTCCTTGATCTGTGCAAGATGGCTCTTGTGAGACGCCCTCGTCGTTCGGCTTCGACTGAGACTCTATACATATGTGTACTTATATATGCACCATAGTTTCCTTTACTCATGAAGACCTCTACCTCCTCGAAGCGGAGGTCTCAGAACCGGCCGTGGCGCCGTTTGTACTTGTCTTCCCTTTCCCTGTGTCGGCCTTTTTTGCAAGCGTAGTCTTTTGGAAATAACCAATTGCATTCCATGGCGCATTGTCATTTGACTCTTGCACCCATCTCTGCATTGCTTCCGAGTAGTTGTTGGATGCTAGGGTTTGAGCATTGACTCTCTATGCGTGGCGAGTTAAAAGACTGCATCGTTCATGGAGAATACCAGATCAGGGTACTCCTTACCTTTCCTAGCAATGACTTCTTCTCCCAGCGTCCGCTGGCCTTTGGATCTATCATGCCCTGTTTCGACTGTCCTGCTTCATTGTGTTGGTCCGGCATGGCCAGTGACGGGGGTATGTTTCAATGATCTTAAGGTATTTGGGAGTATCGGGCCTCAAGCGAAGGATTCCGACAAGGAGTTGACTCGGCGTGCTTTTCTTATTATGACTCGAAATCAGTAGGAGAGATCGCAGAGAGGAGAGTCATGGAACGGAATTGCATGTTCTTATGTGCGTGCGAGAGGCCGCGTCCGCCATGTGAACTCGCAGCATTTTATGGGCTTTTTGTTCTACTAGTTGACGGATGAGCTGTGTAAAATTTGACTTATGTCCCTTTTGATACTCACGACATACCCGAACACTCGGTTCGGCCTTCCTCAAGGCGACTGCTTTGGTCTGTCTGTCCACTAGTCCAAAGCAGTGTGGGCTGAGAACAAGAACTCGCAGCATTTTATGGGCTTTTTGTTCTACTAGTTGACGGATGAGTTGAGTGGAATTTGACTTATGTCCCTTTTGATACTCACGACATACCCGAACACTCGGTTCGGCCTTCCTCAAGGCGACTGCTTTGGTCTGTCTGTCCACTAGTCCAAAGCAGTGTGGGCTGAGAACAAGAACTCGCAGCATTTTATGGGCTTTTTGTTCTACTAGTTGACGGATGAGCTGTGTGGAATTTGACTTATGTCCCTTTTGATACTCACGACATACCCGAACACTCGGTTCGGCCTTCCTCAAAGCGACTGCTTTGGTCTGTTTGTCCACTAGTCCAAAGCAGTGTGGGCTGAGAACAAGGCAAAAGTGTGACCGCAGCACTTAGCGAGCCAATGAAAATGAGATCTTTTTCAGAATCAGGAGCGAGCCAATGAAAATGAGATATTCTTCAGAATCAGGCAACCAGGCGTTCGCATTTTTTTTTAACCCACCCACCTCACCTTATGGCTTTCTCTCCCACGAGTAGTCTTTGCCACATTTGAAGATGTCTTCGCGCGGTGATCAACTAAAGCCGCGAGCCACCACGCAGGCTTCACGCGCACCGCGGGTCAGCGAAGCGGAATGGATTAATCGGCGCCAAAAGCTCGAGAGTCTGTACCTGGATGATAATCTATCTCTTCAGGAAATAACAGAGACCATGGCAAGGGAGTACAGTTTCTTCGCCACGTAAGACCTCTTTATGCTTGCATTGAGGACCGAAAACCTAATAGCTCATCGATAGAGAGAAACAGCTGAAGTATCAATTCAACAAGTGGGGTCTCAAGAAGTACATAAGCGATCGAGACTTGACCACAATGCTATCTTTCAAAAGAAAGCGTCAAGAGCTGGGAAAGGATACCAGCTTCGAATATCGAGGCCACCTATTTGAGCAAGAAAGGCTTGAGCGGGCGTCAAAAAGACGAAAGGGGCCTCTAATTTCCTCCCCAGGTATGTAACTGCACTCTCACTTGGCCTAGGCTAACGTGAGGATGCGTGGTAGTCCTTCCACCGTATATTAGAGCATTGATATCACCACGACAAAGCCCGCAAATGCCATGCTTTCTTCCAGCTTATGGTCAGACTTTTGGGGTTCCAAATAGTGCCGAGGAAGTGACTCATGATATCGAAAGGCCAAGTAGTCTGGGAATTCCCCCCATGAGCCACGTATGGAATAGCCTCGGTGCATTCTCAGACCAGGTTTTCTTCGATGATGGTGGGCAGAACCAAGCGAACAGCGGATTATGGGAAACTTTGCTCGATAACAACAGTCCGTCGTTCTCACCACGACGCGGGTCGCTTATGCCGACTTCATCCAGGCAAGACATCGAGGCTATGCAAACGGAAAATACGAGCCAGCTTATGCGGCAAATAACCAGAATCACTCCAGATGTCTCTACCGTGCAAAGTGCAAACGACAAGGACTCCCCTTTTTCAGGCACCAATCTGGACTTTGACTTCTCAGACTTTGTAAATTTACCTCAGGGACCGAGCACAGCTCGTGACTCCTCTTCTCAGGCAGAACCACATCCTCGGAGGTCTGCTGAGAGGATAAGTATCTCCCCTCTTCAGCTCGCAGACCACAATGACACTCACAGCGAAGATAGAGCATTCAACCTGGCTTCAGAGACTACATCAGCCACCGGTCAAGCGCTTGGCTCCGTCACTGGGGAGGATGTGAGAGCAGAGTCAATTGCATCACTACTCGTTTTGCTTAAATCGCTCATTTTTTCACGCTTCAACACTGCTTCTCAAAAGTACGAGCATGACGCCTCTATTCTCTCGGACGTTTTCTGTCCGCATACGTGCGACTGGTTATCCTTTGGGGTCGAAGAATTGCTGGACTCATACCTTGAAAGATCTCTGACGTCTATTCGAAAGCGCCGAATAGCGAGGAGTCAAGGTTCCTTGCGATGTGGCTCCGATGTCTATCTTGACGAACCTAGACAAGGTTTCGAATCGCCGGATGGAATACAACGACTTTCAATGCTCACCGAAGGCACTGATGCTATCAAGCTGCGAACTACCTTTTGTTGGCTTTGTTACACGCCCATGGGACAAGTCCGATTTCAAGTCAGAGAAGGACCAAGCAGTTCAATGGACGAAGGAGGAAGTGATTCGAAGTTCCTCATCATCATATCATTCATGCCGCGGGCGATGAAACGGACCCCTGGACTGTGCGTCCGTTTGTCCAGACTGATGAGTGGGCCTGCAATCCCTCCGCAAGTTAACACCTTCAACGTCGTTCCGGATGATTCTGCGATCTTTCAGTGCATCCGCAAGAGCGATCTCAAGGGCATACAAACACTATTCGACCTTGGAGCAGCATCCGCTCGAGACGTCGACTCGCGAGGCATATCGCTACTCCATGTAGGTACAGACGCAGATGGACGAAGCAATAGTCTTGCTGACTACTTTTGCAGTATGCTATATTCACGGGATGTTCTGACATTTTTCGGCTTCTACTTCAAGGCGGAGCTAGTACCTATCAATGTATGGACAGCGGCCGAATAACAGACGTTATCACGGTCATATGGAACTCTTTCGCAGGTGCTAATTCGGGCCTGTGTGAGTCGTCAGGAATGTCAACGGAAGAACTCAAGAAGTTCGAGCACTGTGTGGCAATAACACAACTAGCACTAGACTATGACTGCATGATTGACAACGCCGACGATCGACGAATAGGTGCTGGTCCGCTTTTTGATATTACTGGGAACAGCATGGCCGATGCCCACGCCTCGGCTTCGGAGGATGCAATCCACTATCTACTTTCCTTTGGCTGGGATCTTGAGGAGAAGAATTCCCTTGGACAAACGCCACTCCTTCACGCAGCAACCGAGTGTGAGCCACACTTTGCGAGATGCCTAAGAAAACTTATTGAAAGAGGTGCCAGACTAGATGCCAGGGATGAGATCGGCCGAGGGCCTTTGCATAGTGCTTTGAGCCCACCCGTACCTCTTTCCGATTGGGTGGATCTAAATTGCAATGTGCACACCAAGAAAGGCGATTTCGATAACAACGAGTGGCTTAATATGCTCTGGAATACAGAGGATCACAAATTCGGAAGAGATTACTACGATAGAGACAGTACGCTGGACCCTCTTCCAGCCTCCACGTCTCCCGAGACGTCTCGATCGACGCCATCTCTCCATGGTGTCGAGAGCAGCCAACTGGTGAGCGATCACGGGTCTAACGTTTCTGAAGAGCAGCCAATCCCCATCGATTTGTCCTCCTCTGATCTTGACAGTGACGCCTCACCATGTGCCGAGGAGTCCATCCCAGAATCTGATGACGACAACTACGTCTACTGCGCCGACAGTTGGGGTAACCATAACTGGATTCGCAACCCAGCCCATGTGCTCAAGGACCGCGTCAGGACCAAGCTCAGGATCCTGTTAGAGGCAGGATGCGATCCGAACGACCTCGACGATGACGGGGATTCACCGAGTGACTATGCCAGGGATGGCTTGTGGTCGCAATGGCTCTGGGCGCTGAAAACGACAGGGTATGTCTTTGATACGGAGAATGATCGGTGGATCAAGCAAGTTGCTCCTGCTTGAGTGAAAGAATGCCGACGTTGGGACAAACTCAGGGCTGAAGAGACTAAATTGATATAGAGCAAAGCATATAATCTTGATCGTAGATCAACAGTCTAGCAATGAGCTTTTGGGTACGACGCACATGTCCTAATAAGACCTCTGAGTCAACTTCGATTCCCTTTGAGCACACAGTCCCTTTTCCCTCAAAGGCATAGAGTCTCTACAGCTTAGACGAGAGGCCACAAAGTAGTCCCCTTGGGTGCATGCAGTCTTTCAGGCAGGGTGACCGCTGCTTTACGTTCGAATGACGCGGGTGAGAGTCACGCAAATTTGAATCAACACCATGACTCTACGATTCGCTCTAGCACGTTCCTGACATCAATCTTAATTCTCTTTCGTATGAGTAACCCGTGAACTAGACTGTATGGCATTGAAGCTGAACAACGGTCCATATCACCATGACCTACTGCCACTCGATCCGCCAATTATTCAGCATCTGAGAAAATGTAGCAAGATTCATGCATAGAGGGAAACCCAGACTCTCCGAATCCCAAGGAGAAAAGATTCTTTTTGACTATTCACTTACGCACCATTTGTCGGGTATCGATCGGGCATATCGGCTCCTTATGTCAGAGGACATGGAATAGTAAGGATCGAATGCATCAAGAAACAATTTACTCGCAGACCAAATGGCGAATTTTCCAGGAAAAATTCGTGAACAGAGTTGGTCTTTTCGGACACCGCGTCCGCATTCCAGGACTTTCAACAAACTTACTTGGGATTTTCGCCCCCATGACCTTTGCCACATTCGCTCATCTCGCAGGGCCTCGAGGCTAGATGAACGATCGTCCTCTCTACATCGCCCGGAACTGCAGTCGAGCCAAAAGAGTCTGCTTGCGGTGATGTTGCCGACCCTTCGAAGCCCGAATAGAGCGAGAAGATCGGCACAATTCGCAGTCATACGGAAGCAATGGAATCGGCATTCATCAATCCAATTCTACAGAGACCTTGCTTCCTACCTTTCCGACGAAGCAACGACGAAAGACACTGAATATATGCATAATTGCCGGAACAATGGATTATGGTTCGATTTTCCCCCGGGACATAAGCGCTGAAGTGTGGTATAATTGCATGTGACTGGGGTCTCGTACGACAGAACAGCGTAAGTTGGAGCTTGTGAATAATGGCATGTGTTGATGGCACGGTTCGAGTATTGGAGCACATCTTTGAGTGGGTGGCGAATACATGGACTGTTTTCGTTGCGCAGGGCAAGCATTGGAACGTTTCATGCCGACCTGCCCATACTAATGCGCCGGGCGCAGACGCAGATACTTCCCCACATTCTAGGACGCCCCGTATTGACCCAACCGCTTCTTTCCTTGCAGCGAGCCAACGGTCTTCGGTATCGGCCCGCCCGCTCTCAGCCCCCACACCCTCACGCTAATCTCCCACCCACATGGCATAGAAAACACATCTTCGTCCATGATATATACATTGAGCTCTTTCTCTAGAGCATCACGATGCAAGAAGAACTCGACAGCTACGTTCTTTGTTCTCTGATTAGACCTACACCATTACGCTCTGCCTCAGCGTGCGTCGACAGCAAAGATAAACCCGCTCGAGAATGTGGAGTCGAAATCGGCGGGGCAGATAGCTAAGGATGGCGCCGAGGTGAAGCTGGTGCTGATGATGCCCTGCTCGACAAGCGGCTGGAGGACTGGCAACAGAAGTCCGGCCGTGTGATACCCGAGTTATTGGAAACGGAGCTGCCGGAGCTGAAGTCGGAGGATATAATTATGCTTGTGTGGGGGCTCCTGGGGCTGCCAAAGGTACGTTTAATGGGAGTGTTTGATGGAGACGAGGTATGAGAAGGATCGCAGGTATAATTTCTGAGCAAGCGAGGGGTAAAGATAGATAGATAGATCAGGCAGCGTCGTGTAGCTATAGAATATCGAATGCCGCTTCACTGGAACGAGGCACGGCGGTGGGAAGTTTTCAAATTCACCGCCGGTCTTCAGTGTCATTTTTTAGGATTATCTATTTTTACACAAGTGTGATCCGGTGTCTGAGACAGAAACGAGCCGCATAGATGAGAGCACTAGACGAAGCTCACGAAGACGGAGGCAAGACGGAACCCGATCAAACGGAGGCGAAGCGGAGACAGAACGGAGCCTATCGAGACGGAGGCAGAACGGAGCGGAGGCAGGACGGAGCGGAGGCAAGACGGAGGCAAAATAGAAGTGGAAGCATAGTGGAAGTAAAACGGAGCGAAGTCAAGACGGAGGCTACCAAGACGGAGGCAAGACGGAAGCGGAGGGGAAATAGAAGTGGAAGCAAAGCGGAAGCAAGACGGACGCGGAGGCCAAATGGAGGCAAAACGGAGCCCACAGAGACGGAGGCAAAAAAGCGCCATGGGTGACTTACCTCCAGCGACCCCAAAAAAATCAACATGACAATCCTGTCAACGGTACAAGCCATATAATTCTATTGTGAGGAAGCCTAAAACGAAGAAAATTCTCCGGCTATAACAATACGTCTCCGTCCCAGGTAGATTCCACGCCTCTCCCGCTAACCCCGTTGTCGACATCTGGAATCACAGCTCGTTGGCCGACCCTTCGACCGCGAAAGTCCTTGTTTCCTTGATGATGTGGGTGCGACTGTGCTGGCTTTGAGCATCGAAGTCCGGCGGATCGTTCGCGGTGACGGTGGTGATGTGGCGCGGGTTCGGCACGCCGACGAGCCCGAAGGACTGGCTCCCGGTCCTGGCGTGCTTTCTTGTCGAGAAAGCTGACCTCGTGGTCGACGAGCCGCCGGTGGTGGTGGTGGTGGTGGTGTGGTGACGGTGGTATTCGTTCGTGCCCCGTCGCCGGATGTCGTCACTTCTGATGAAGCCGGACTCGACGCTGTCGAGGAATGGCTTGAGGTAGAGGAAGCAGGCCGAGACGATGCTGAGGCATTGGATGATTTGGGTGCAGAGTGTCACGGTCCAGGGATTGTGACCGGGCTTTTGCAAGTCTTGGGTGTTGTTCCAGAAGACGAGCTTGCACGCTGAGGCGGCAATGACACTGTATGAAGATCAGCACCTAGACATTCTATGGTATTGATGGACCTACGTGCTCCGAAGCGCAAAGAAGGAACAGACCGAGGCTTTTCTGGAAAGGGAGATTCGAATCTGCCAGATCACAACAATCGGCAAGCATATCAAAGCCAGATCAGTAATGATGTTCGTACTTTCGAAGTAATTCCACCATGTGCGCTAGTTGCCAATTGAGTACGGCCTTGTATACAAGTGGAGGCTAACGTACACGTATTGTATCATTCGAGCAGTGTCCTTCCAGATAGTCCCACGGTCTGGGCAGATGGCATAGGAAAGCCGTTCCGAACTCTCCGATGATTACCCAAAGAAAGAGGAAGATTGCAAGTCCGTATGTGGCTCGTCGATGGCTTCGGATGGGCGTCAGAGTGTTGACAAGAGCTACGACAGATGCTTTCGCAAAGCCGAGACTTGCAACATAGAGGAGACTGGCAGCATATTCAGACTAGCAGCAGCTTAGTCAAAGCACTCTGTCTCGTGCATGTGTAAGACGCATACCTTCAAATTGCTTGTCGCTTGAGAGCGACTCAGCGGATCTGAAGGGCTACCATAGCCATGTCCAGCCTCTACCGAGACGGCAACTGATTGTCCAATGGCGAAGAGCTATTTGCCGTTAGCTAAATCAGATCAGCTTGGCGGCGACCAAGAGCATACCAAGGCGACTGTTATCAGATAGTCGTCGAGACTGACGGAGCGGACGAGAATGGCTTTAGTGAGACCCCTGGCCCCAACTCCTAGAATTGAAGTAATAATCAAAAACCAGGTGAGTATCTGCACAGTGGAAGCATTCTCATTGCCCATGATATGAATATGTTCCCCTGTCAATGAAAAAAAGTATGCAGTATCGCCGTCCGGGGTTTCATATATTGCTCGACGGCTCAATCCGAGAACCTATTTCTTTTTCGGCTACATACATATGCAGGGCAGCGTGCGAAGAGGGATAAAGAAGATAAGAAAGACGGTGCATGGGATGACATGATATACATGACAGATTGAGGGTTGCAGGGGTTGAGGGTGGTGGTGGGGGAAGGAGAAGGACTCGAGGTGGGCAGGATATCAGGCCTCATACCAGTCCACATTCTCGCTCTTGGAACGGCTTTCAGTCTGTCATCCGCTTACCATTCACTGTAGTAAAAGGCAAAGAAGGCGCCGACGGCCGAGAAGAGAAAATGCAAACAGCTTTGGGAACAGGATGGGTATTATGGAATGCATTCCCACCCGATGATTGTGCCCCGCGGACAAGGCGGGGCTGTTGTTCAGCCACGTCAGTTTATTGGGCAAGGCGTCCAATTACGTGTACATCAATGTTGTTCTGTGTCCGAGCTCGACATCCCTCACCCTGTGCACTGTGGATGGCGCTCGGAACATCAGTCACCTTATTAGAGTCTGGGGGAATCTGCACCTGCGCTGCACCATCATGCCGGCGGATTGTGTTGCGCTAAAAGGGGATTGTCCAGGTAATATCCGTGTAGGTCATCACCAATTTACCTACTTGTAGAGGTGTACGGCCGAAAAGTCTAAGCTCTGAGTGATTCGGCAAGGGAGTAAGGTACGTACCCATATCCCATCAATGGAATTGTTCACTGAGGATCCCATACAAGTAACCGGCGTCGATTGGTGGGTACTTGCGTGCCAAGATATTAGACTTTTGAGTAGACTTTCCGGCCGAAAGATAAGCCGAGGGTCCGCTGCAACGTGAAAACGATTTGAAAGTTTAAATACTGGAATATGATTACCATTGGTTGCTAATGCTGTTGGTAACGGAGAATGATCTGCCTATCCATCGTCTGGGGACGAAATAATTGCCTGATCAGTGCACTGACATGCATTGACATTTGATCGCCTGCAAGCTGTCAATTCACTCGCATGACTGGAGCTCCCAAGTCAAGCAGACTACATGTAATCTACCTTGAATGGATTGAAGATGGTGGAGTGGAGTGCTTGATGCAAGCCCCCAGAGCCGTGCTGACTCAGCTGAAATTGGTGGGGTCATTCATGGATGATGGAGTCATTCACCGCTACAACAAATCTGCTGATCGAGGTGTGAAGTGTAAAGTATTCCGTATTGCCGTCTGCAAATTGTCTTTGTACATGTGACCCATATACCGCGATCCACTAATGTCTGCGTGTCCGCGCAAGCAACTTGCACCGCACATATGTTGGAATCTTCACCTCCTTCTTATACCAGCGGAGATAGATGAAGAGCCTCTATTGCCATCTAGAGTCTTCGCATATTGCTTGGAATCTTTACAAGAATTACCGCTCCTTTTGCAAACCCTCCAGCTAGAACTCCCGAGACGACAACATGGAAGACGACTATGAGCTGGCGCACAGTCCTGGTGTCACGAAAATGCCAGAACAGATCCATTACACCCACCGGGGATCCATTGACCGTGATGAAGCCGACCTCATGCGCCTTGGTAAGAAGCCAGTCCTGAAGGTGAGACTCGGGTCCTGATTCGAACCACTGATGATTCGGACTGACGGAGTTTTTGCAGCGCAGATTTGGGTTCATGTCGTTGCTGGGTTTCAGTTGTACGATTCTCATCACCTGGGAGGGCATTTTGATGTAATCCTGGATCACCCGATCTCACGCAGACCGAGCTAACAAAGAAAAGCGTCTTCGACATTGGATTTGCGAAGTATGCTGCTCTATATCAAAGCGCAGCGGCCAAAACATGATAACCGAGTTTTAGTGGAGGTCCCGCCGGTCTGGTGTATAGTTTTCTGGTCGTGTGGATCGGGACTGCCTCAGTTTACGCGTGTTTGAGCGAGCTTGCTTCAATGTGTTTTCAAATGCCAACATTCTTTGAAGCCTGGACTAAAGCATGTTAGGGCTCCTACCGCTGGCGGACAGTATTATTGGGTCTCAATGCTGGCGCCGCCCTCATCGAGGAAGTTTCTGAGCTATGCCACCGGCAAGTGATAGATCACAATTTGACGAATCTCTCTGATCGGTCTTAGGATGGCTCACGGTGTGGGGCTGGCAGGCAACTCTCGCATCGGTGTACTACCTCGCAGGAGCCCAGATCCAGGGGTTGATCACTTTGACAACGCCTGCCTACAATCCCCATCCATGGCATACGGTTCTACTGTTTTGGGCGTCGATGGTATTCACTATATTTATGAACACCATCGTCGGACGCTTTCTGCCCAAGTTCGAAGCGTCAATTCTTATAATCCACATTCTAGGCTTCTTTGCCATTCTCCTCCCATTGGTGGTCTTGGGCTCGCATCAGGATGCTTCCGAGGTTTTCAACACCTTTCTAAACACCGGAGATTGGCCTACACAAGGTCTCTCGTTCATGATAGGACTGATTGGGTCTGTCTATACTTTTACGGGTACGTAGCCAATCTGACCTGCCAGAACATTTAGAAATATGCCTGACAAGGTGAACAGGCGCAGATGGGGCGATCCATGTATCACTACCCTTTCCCGGCGGGAGCCAGGGCTACTGGCAAGCTGACAAAACTGTAGATGTCGGAAGAAATCCAAGACGCCTCTGTTGTCGTGCCACGCTCAATCATGTTCACCATCTTCATCAATGGCACCTTGGCTTTCGGTATGTTGATAGCGACGCTCTTCAGCCTGACTGATGTCCAGGGCGCATTGACTACCCCCACCGGATACCCATATATGGAAATTCTGCTCCATGCCACTGGTTCCGTTGCCGGAGCTACGACCCTGGCTTCCATTCTAGTGGTCATGCAGTACTGCGCTAATGTGGGACTTCTCGCATCCGCTTCGCGCATGTGTTGGTCATTCGCGCGCGATCGCGGTCTACCCGGGTGGAAATGGCTGCAGCACGTCAGTATCCTCCCCACTGAATCACTCGGGTAGTTGCGAATGGATAACGCTGATGTGCGCAATCTGGATACCAGGTCGACGCACGCACTTCTCTCCCCATCCGGTCCATCCTCGTCACCACGTGTGTTTCATGTCTGCTTTCACTCATCATCCTCGGGTCCTCAACCGCCTTCAACGATCTGGTCTCGCTCTCGGTGTCCGGTCTGCAATCCTCGTACCTCGTCGCAATCAGTCTTTTGCTATATCGACGCTACACCGGAGCGATACTTCCGCCCGCTTCGTCCGTCGGCTCTTCCGCGGTGGCGGACATCAGTGTCAGATGGGGTCCTTGGCATATACCGGGATACTGGGGTATCGTGAATAATACATACGCGTGCTGTTATTTGACCGTCGTGGTGTTTTTTAGCTTTTGGCCAACCCAGAGGCCGGTCACGGCGGCAAATATGAATTACGCTGTCTTAATAACGGGGGCGATTGTTATCATCAGCCTGGTCTACTATCTCGTATGGGCGAGGAGAGTGTATACTGGACCGGTGGTCGAGGTCGCGTGAATGGGTGGAGGAAGCACCGGGTACGCACTTTTGTACAAATACTCAAGCCGGAAACAATTCTGTAGGATGGAAGTAGGCAGCGGCAACTCGGCGACCGGTCGTGAACGCAGATACAGTCGTGGATTATACAAAATGTTGAAAGCTACGGCGTCAACCTCGAGGACACGCAGCCCCTCATGTCGTCGTTCCTCATTTCGACTCCTTGACCACCCTGTCGAACTCCTTCAGATACTCATCCACTTCCTTTGCACCCTCCAGCGTAAAGTCTCTTCTCTTGCCCTCCAACACCACATATGGCACGGCGCTGGGATTACAATCTCGCAGTCAGCATTGCCTATCGGTAGGGTTTTATCGAGCCTTGGACCATGTTTCGAGAGTACGCACTCCCAAGATATGTCTCAAGGCTCAAGATTTGCTTCCAAAAGGGTGAAATACGGAATCCGAAAATACGTACTCGATGCCATTGCTCGCCTGCTCTCTAATAAGCAGCTTGGTCTCGGGCAGCGCTTCGTAATCATCTCCAACGAACGCCTCGGCCTTTGAACGCTCGACACCGCCGTCCAGAGCGGCTTGGAGCAGCGTGGTCGGCGCCGCGGGATGCGCTTCCTCTTCGAAGTACTGCCTGTACAGGGAATCGACGATCTTGTCTGCGGTCTCGGGTCCCATTTCCTCCTGGAAGTGTTGGATCAAGCGGTGTGCGCTCAGGGTGTTGGCCACCATTCCGTGGAACTTGAAATCGATGCCGACGCCGACGCCGTAGGCGGACATCAGAGTAGTGTACTTCCTCATCTGCTCTTCGGAGTTGCTGTATTTTGTTGTCTTGTACCTGGATTGCGGTTTGAATGGGTGGATCGCTCTAGTCTGCAATGTAAAATAACGTACCACTCATACTTGTCTTCGCCTTGATTGCTAGCCTCTGGATAGAGCTGATAGGGAAAGTATTTGACCGTGAACTTTACATCTTCGGCTGAAGGAGAGGAGCGGAACTGCTTCAGAGCTGGATTGGCCGTGTTAGAGAAACAGATCAAACGCTCTTCCTTGAACCTGCCAACAGAAAAGACGTGGATGGGACGGAAGACACAAATCTTCTGGGCTTAGAGAGTAAAGAGTGAGCCATACCTATGTCTAGTCTAGTCAAAGCACAGATCATCAGCCCCGCTTCCGTCAGTAGTCGAGAGCAATGACCTTTTCTTCGCCAAGTATGTCCTAAGACAAGAGTCAACGTTGAACTTCACATCGAGCATCACTACCAAATGACGCATTCATCAAGAAACCCAACTCACCAGGGACAAATGGTATCCAAGGTAAAGGATATCTGCGATTCATAGACCATCCTTGCGTTCCCTCGTAGCAAACGTGGCGAGAAGCTTCTGGATCACTCCGTACCGCTTCCCTTTATTGGTCCCTCGACAGTCCTTCAATGAACAACACTGACTTGATTCGATTCAATCAATGCCCGCCAGCATCACAAACAACAGTGAAGGCGAGGGAAGTGAATATGGGGGCTAAACATCCCACTATGATTGACACCGTTCCGCTTCCCCTCACCCCGGATCCCGGGCCGTTTTGGCTGGCCCAGACCCACCGGCGCATGTCATCTTGCGCCGGATGCAACCGTGAGCCTCAGGTACCTGGCAGCTCGCGTAGATCTAGGTACCTTTCAGATCAGATGCATGTGCAGGTGCAGGCGCATGACGGAAAAATTGTATAGCGTAAATGGTGGCAGAGGCAGACGGAATCGACATTTCGTTTCGACCGCTTGGTATCGTAGGGAGACTTCCAGACAGGTCTGTGCTGGAAGCCTTGAGCGGTGGGAGTCGTGCTGTGATCGGCGCAGGGTTCTGTAGATTGCTAGGGTACCTGTTCCGGAAAGACGTATGAGTTTCAAGAATGGTGCAAGGAGTGAACGATGGGAGTGGAGGACTGCGTACGGAGCGAGCGGTTTGTCAACCTTTGGCTGGGACTAGCACCGTGTGAATCTACTTACCCTCATGTGGTAGCAAAGGCTCTTCATCCACCCAACACAAACATTCTCTTTTCCATTTCACTTCACTTCAAAGCATTCACTTGATACATACTTCCATATTCTACAGTTCAAGTTTTAAAATCTCACTGCACCACTCAATTACCTCCATCTTTTAACATCCAACTCAACTAATCCAATCCAATCCAACCCTCACACCAAATACAACTCACCATGTATCTCTCAACCACCCTTCTCCTCCTCCTCACCGCCAACGCCGCTCCAGCAACCGCTCAAGTAACCTTGTACTCTACCCCCCCCCCGCCCCCAAACCCCACCAAGCTAACCTCCCCCCCAACAGCAACACCAGCACGTACCAATTCATCTGCCCCTCCACCCCACCCAACGCCGCCTACTGCGCCGGCCCATCCCTGACCTCCAACATCATCATCCGCTGCACCGGCACCTCGGGCCAAGCCGGCAACTGCAACGACAAGTAAGCACGCGACTTCCCTTCCTGCCACCCCGGAGTGACTGACACCGACCAAAGTCTCGCCGGCGTGCCACCGCTCGGCGTCAAAGACTTCGCACCGTGTAAGATGCTCCGATAAGGGGGAATAAAATCCCCACTCGACCGAATTCCCTGACTCACTCGATCCACACAGGTTACGAATCCTCCCCCGCGGCCGGCGACGCCGCCTGCTCCTACGGCGGGACCGTCTACCCGGACGGCGTCGGGCCCGGCTTTCCGGTTCCGGGCCCCGGCAACAATAGCAACACGGCCTTGACCACCACCGCTGCTAGCAACGTCAACGGCAGCCTATCGATCACATCGCCACATACCTCCCTCTCTACCCCAGCTTCCACTTCCACCTCCTACATCTCCCCTTCCATCCCACCAGCAGCATCTACCGCCCTCGCTAGCGCGCGCTACCCCATTCCCCTCCTCGCAGCCAACGGCACTAGTACCGGTACCGTCGCAACAGCAGCGAGTGGAACTGGGACCGGGACCGCGCCGCGCAACACGACGCATGGATCGTCGGTGCCTGGGTTCACGGGGGCCGCCGCCGAGGGCAGGAGGACGAAGGCGCATCTGGGGGCCATGGTTGCGGCTGCGGTTGGGATGTTGGTGTTGGATTAAGCGGAACGGAAGGATACGAAACGGAACGGAAGTCCTACCTGCAGAGTTTGGCTCGAGGAAGCCAGCTGGCTAGCTAGCTAGGTAGGTATGCATGACGGGGCGATTGGACGGAATGCTTATGATTGCTTTCGAGCTGCAGACGCGGAAAGCGGTGCTAGGATAGCGATGGAGGTGACGATGCTTCTTGCGATAAGCAGACCCAGGCCAGTTTTTTTTTCAATAGCAGCTTGCACATGCAGTTTTTCAAAGATTTCACTCACGCTTATCGAAAATGCATCACTGGCAACGTTGACTCTTTGTAAAAAAAAAGCGCTGTTGATGCAATGCTAAACCTCCGACGGCCATGCGCAAAGAATCCGGTGGCTTCCACAAGGGTATATTGGGGTGTACAACACCCCGATGTAGAAGCGGAACGACGCCGTGAAAAACATGCATGAAACCCGAACAGCGTGCTCGGCACGGTACGGTTTCTCCCAAGAACGCCATTGGCTATATACATTTCCTACTCTCTTCATCACTCATAATCATCTCAACTGACCCGGGACTGCTTCGTCGCCTGTTGCTGCTTAGTAACGCTGTGTGGGATTCAGGAAAAGGGAGTCGGGTAGAGGCAACTCACTAAACTCGCTGCAGCTGCAGCTGCAGCCGTCCCTAGGTCCACGCCTTTACTAGTCCCCATACTACGCGGCGTGCTTGCAACCCTCGGTAGGGCACTCCCTTGTACCGCAGCTCCATTCAGCGTCCTCTTCATGCCAACGCCGTTGCCGTTGGTTTGTGGCCCAGTCATAGTGGAAAGCCTCTTCGGAGCTGCCGCAGTGACGGCAGCTTTGATGGGTGATTGGCTATTGTTGACGCTAGTGTTGGTGATATCGCGGTTCCGGACAGCGGTGCCATTTTTGAAGCTGGTAGCGGGAGGCTCGGGCAGCGGGCGCGTGCTAGCTGGTGTTTGCGTTATGGAGTTGTAGCGTTTAATGGGCGACGAGGTCTGCTGTGAGGGAGCCGTGCGAGGACGAGCGGTAGATTTCGTGGGTTTGCCGGTGATGAACTCGTGCTGTATAGCTTCGTCAGGTTTGAGGCGGCGATCAGGGTCCCACCGAAGGCAGCGAGTGATGAAGTCGAGAAAGGATTCATCTTCGCATTTGAGCGCCGCCTGGAGAGACTTGCTACTGGGGCGGCGGCGTTTGCCTTTTGTTGAGACAGTGAGACGTGGTTTGCCCAGAGAGTCAAAGAAGATCTTCTTGCGAGTCGACTTTTCGATTAGGTGCTTTTCAGGCGGGCCAAAAACCTCCATTATGCAAGCCAATTGCTCTTGCTCGTTTTCGCCCGGAAAGATAGGGTAGCCCGTGAGGAGCTCGGCAAGAATACAGCCTAGTGACCACATGTCTATTGGCATGCCATATGTCATGCCCAGAATGACTTCAGGAGACCGGTAGAAACGAGATTGTATATAGGTATACACCTTCTCATTTTCAAGGCAGCTTGAGCCGAAGTCGATGACCTTGATTTCAGAGCGAGCAGGATGCGCCAGGAGCACATTCTCGGGCTTGAGGTCGCAATGGATGACTTTGTGACCTTTCAAAAGAACGAGACTGCTCAACAGTTGCTTGGCAAAGCGCCTGATGAGCTTTAATGAGAACCCTCTGAATTCGTGAGCCTTGATGAACTCGTAGAGGTTCATGCCTAGAAGCTCAGTCGAGATGCATAGATGGCCGCGGAAGTAGAAACTCTGCACGAAGTTGACCATGCTATGTTTGCTTTGGGGATCCTGATGCGTGCATTAGTATTTAAAGAAAGGCGTTTAGTATCTAGTGGACTCACCCATTCTCGCAGCTTCTGCAGAATGTCGACCTCAACGAGCGCTTGTTGATGGAACCTCTTCTTGTTTCTTATGATCTTGATAGCCACCAGAACACCTGTCTTGTGATCTATGCAGCGCACGACTTGCCCAAAGCTGCCTTTGCCAAGGATGTCGACGATCTCATAACGGTAAGCTAGGTGATCACCATTCACGATATTGTAGTCTCCCCGATCATCGTCATATCCAAAATTGGCCACGTCTGCACTCAAGTCTCCGACATGCTTCTGAGCATCCTGTGTACCACAGAAATAGACATCCTTGTAGTCCACTATCTCGCCACGCTCGAATATGTTGAAATGCGCCATCCGCAGCGCTGAATGTGGCGATACTCTCTCCTTGGCAGTGGCCCTTCGCCTCAAACCATCGACCTCTTTAGCAGCCTTTTCCGTCTCTTTCCGTTTCGATGCTAATCTCCTCATTTCTTCTTCCGCCGACAAATCATCGCGGTCGAGCTGCATCTCCATGGTCTTGGCTTCACGCAAGAAATCCTTCAAACTCATAGAGTTGTGAATCGGCGCCCCTTCAAGAGCGGCCCGGGCTGTTCTTTTTGAATTAGCAGCAGGCGTCTCTGGAGGTCTGGGATCCTTCTGAGGAGTTTCAGCAGTGTCCAAAGTACTGCTCCTAGTCCGATCGTGCTGCATCTTGATGCTGGAATTAGACGTGTTCCTTGTGGCTCGCGATTGGATACTTTTCTGGCTCGGGCTAGGGCTAGAAAATAGTGAACCATTCCAGGTGGCAGAAGCAGGGAGTTTAGGCGGAGGCATGTCATCATGCTTCGGCGGCTTTGGTGGTATATCTGCATCTCTCTCTGCTGCTGTCTGCGCTTTCGAAGCGCTTCGCTTGCGTGTCAAGCTCAACTTGCGGCGGAGAGAGCTCCCAAAGGAAGTGGTGCCAGCATCAGTAGAGCTTGTGGTGTCCATGCTTGATGCATCATCCTTGGAGGCTTTTCTGGGTTTCTGCAAGCGTGGACCAGTCAATCGAATCGGCCTTGCATCGGCGCCGATATCGAAGGTATTCGATTTCTCAAGTCCATAGCCATATTCGCCACTTGATTTTGGTAGTGAAGAAGAGACGAAAGGGGACATGGCTGTACGGCTAGCAGACAAGGCGAAGGAGTCGGATGGCGTTGGAACGGTGGTACTCGAGCTACTGACGTCACGGTAAGAAAGGGCTTCGGGCCTCATGTTGTAATGAGAACTACTGCTTCGGATCTGTACTGGCATTGTCGCATTATCATCGTCGTGATAGCCTCTTGAGAAGCTAGCTTTAGATGCAGTCATTGGTGTGGTCGGTATTGCTTTAGCACCAACTTTAGGTGGTGGAGTCATGGTTCCCTTGTTCTTCGCAGCCGCTGTCGCATCATGCAGAGCTGCAATTTTTGAAGCAGTCGAAGTGCTCAACGGAAGAAGATTTAGTGGTGGCAGTCTCAGCGGTTGCAAGGTCCGTTTGTTTGCACTTTTTGTGTCAGGTGGTTTCCTTTCTGTTGCAGGCTCTGTTTCAACATTGGTAACCTGACTTTGTTGCAATTCTCGGTCATCTTTATTTCGTTCATGGACAGATTGTGGTGGTACCACACCAGGAATAGAGGTGCTACTGTTGAGACTGCTGGCCTCGTGGCCCTGGCTTGACTTACGTGTAGCAAAGAAAGGTGTCTGATCATCTTCCGTCTTGGGAGACTCGTAGGCTTTCGGTATTGCTGGGACTGGCGGCACAGATTCCTCGTCGCCTACCGATGAATTATCGCCCCGCGTCTTAGGCGTAGGAAGCCGCGAGGTCAAAAGGCTTTGGGACATACGATGCGAGCCGGAAGAGGCTAAACAAGAGTTGTAGCTCGTAGTCGACGAATTTGAGAGGCCTGAACTGTATGACTTACGGTTGGGGTCTGGAGTCGTTCGAGAGGAAGTTGGCGTTTCACTTTTGCGTGGTATCACAGGGGGCGACGGGTCAGACTGAGGATCAGCCTGTGGAGTGGGTGGCGTATATGGCATTGGTGGTGGATTCGGCATCATGGACATCCTCTTCAATCTGCGCGCATCGGTCGGACTGATTGTGCGCGCTCCTAAACCTGTGGCATGCGCACTGCCGGGCATCATGGAGACCCTCTTATTGCTTGACGATGGAGTGTTCGACAATTGGAAAGTTGGTCTTGCTGGTGATCTGGCAGTGCTGACTGGAGTTGACGGTGTCTGGTCTGGGGTACCACTGGGTGTAAAGAATTGTTCCTGTGCAGATACTTTACTTGGAGGCGGTTGCATCAATTTAGTCTTGTTGTACCGGCTTGGCTGGAAACTGTGCCCTTCGGAGACGTTTGGACTTGCTGCAGGTTCCGGACTATCGACAGCAATGCTCGCTTCTCTAAGACCAGCTTGCGCTAGACTCGGCCTTCGATGTGGATGTGTAGTACCCTCAAAATTCATAAGGACGCCAGGACCAACAGATTTCCGAGGCGAGCGTGTTGCACCTTCACCAGTAGTTGTAGCTGGAAAATAAGTCTTGCGCCTAGCTCTTGCTACCGCTAGACCGTTTGGAGGCGCCATGCTATCCGACTCTGCAGTCTTTTGCCCTATTCGCTGTGTAGTACTGTTGTGTCGATGCAGCGATGAGCCGTTAAGGGCAATCCGAGAGCCAAAAGCCGATGCGTCTGCTGTCTTGGCGGATCCAGGGACGCCAGGTCGTGGAGCCGTTAAAGCAGATCCATTCGCGTTAGCCGCCACATCCTTTGAAGACCCACCGGGCGCCGGGAAAGAAGAAATGTCGGGCTCATCGGAGGCAATGCTAGAATGAAGGTCATCGAAGTTGATGGGCGGGAGGAAATCAAAGGATCCGGATGACTGCGAGGTATCCCGTTTGCTTGTAGTAGCCGTTGAGGCGAAGCTGAATCTTGAGGTATTGTTGATGGAGGATTGTCTGGAATGGGGCTCCTTTTGGGCATTGGACGCGATTGTCCGTTGCGGAGCTTGTGGGTTTGGAAGGCCGCTATGGGCCAGCCTGAGAATGTCAACGAGGATGCTCAATCTCAGATTTGAAGGAGGAGAGCCAGATTTGCATACCGCTTTGATGGAGATGCCTGTAGGGCGCTGGGTGCGTGCGAAGCTCTCTGCTCTTTGAACGTATGATCCTTAACTGAAGACTGCCTTCTTCTGGTTGCAGGTGTAGGAAACGGGTCAGGTCTGATGCCTGCTAAAGGTGTAGGCTCGCTTGGTCGCGAGGGTATCACACTGTTGGACGAGTCTTTTTGCAATCTCTTTGATGGACGTCCTTCACCTAATCTGCCTGTTAGCGGGCGGTTTAACGCGGGCAGGTGCAGCTACAGGCATGCCGCTGTTAAGCTTACCGCCAGAGCCGGACTCGGTTGTGCGGGCAGCATCCAGAGTCCTCGCTTGCACATTGTAAGTGTTCCAATTGGGACTGCGGACGTCCTCGACGTCGGCCATATTCTGCCCACCACTCAACGTGGTCTGTACGGCTAGGTGGCACCGGTGCCCTCGGCGGTCGGCAGGCCAGCTCCTCTCAAATCAACCAGTCCAAAACGTGTCCGATCTCTTCAATATCGTATCAAACAGTCAAAAGACCAGGGGTTGGCCCATCATATTGTCATCATTCCCCCGTATTCTTTGGCGTTTGTGGACCACGCCTTTGAACCGAGGGCCTTGCGTCCAGACCCGAGTCGAGCTCATCCAAAGACTTATTCAGTGCGAGCAGGACAGTGAAAGCAATCCAGGGTTGCTTTTCAGCAGTAGTGATGTCGGCCTGTGGGATGATGAGAGGATCGCCAATTCAAGGAGCTTTTGCTGCAAGGATTTGTTACGCTTGCGGTTGCGGGATGAACAGGGGTACTCCCACGAATTAGAGTTCAGGGACCAGAATGCCTCGAAGACAAACACCTTTCAGCCTCCCCGAACATGTCAAACAGCTGTCTGAAGACTACATGACTCTGAGTCAAGACCATTTACACACTAAATCACTCATATTTGCTATTTTGCCAATTGATTCACCGACAACTACCGCGATCGTTTCCATTTACCTTTCAACATTCCGAGACAGGACTTTGAACAATAACGCTTCCATATACTTGAAGTCGCCGTTTCCGCCCTGGGTATTGCAGTGCATGTTCAGAAAAACTTTTTGTACTGAAAGCCCCTGTAATGGCTGACGTAGAAGAGAAAGAGAAGGCTGAGAAGCTCGCAGCAGCGAAGAAGAAGGTAAGTGTATACCGAACCTCTAGAAGCTCCTGTGCTGATCCATGGCCACTCTAGTACGAGCAATTGAGGAAACAAAAAGGGAAAGCCCAGAAGCCTAGTGGAATAAAGAAGAAAGATGATACTCAAGAAGTCAGAGAGGAAGCCGCCGTCCTGGGCACCACTGACCAAGGAGAAGACGCCCCAGAGCAGGATAAGTCTGGCACAGACGGCGGCAACGACGAATCATCAATGGCTCTCCCGGATACCACGGATGCAGCGCTGTTGGAAAAGGTAACGGATGATGCACCCGAAACACCTGCTCAAATCCTGGCCCATACCCGGCAGCCCTCTTTGAGCATTCAGTCGAAGATGCGATCTTCATCATTCCGCCGACAATCTTTATCACAAGGACCTTTGTCCCCCAGCGCGAATGGGACAAAGTCGCCCGATCTTCCAACTTTGACTTCAGACGGTGATTCCATCAACTCAATATACCGGAAACAAGCAGCACGACTTGATGAGCTTGAAAAAGAGAATCGACGACTAGCAAAAGAGGCGCAGGAAAATGAGAAGAGATGGAGGAAAACGGAGGACGAGCTTGAGGAGCTACGTGAGGCAAGCGGAGATGTCGCACAGCTCAAGGCTCGAGCGGAAAAAGCAGATTCTCAGGTCGAGGACTTCAATAAGGTGGTATGTCTACGCGTCGATTGAATTTATTGTCTGCACGAAAGCTAACTCTAATTACAGAAGCAAGAAAACACGTCTCTCCAGCGCCAGAACTCCCAACTCCAATCCCAATCCTCCAAACGTCATGTCTCTTCTCCAAGCGTGGTCGCGACTTCCTCGAGCCCTTTGTCCTCTCTCCAAGCACAACTCGACAGCAAGAGCTCCACCATTGAATCCATGGAAATGGAGATCTCCAATCTCCGCTCGCAGCTCGACAAGTCCGCATCTTCGACAAACACACACTCGGAGCAGGTCTTGGCCCTGGAAGAGAAGCTGGCGCGGGCAGAGCGGGCAGCTGGTGCTGCACAACGGGAGTTATCAGATGTGAAGAAGAGCCTGGAGCGAGCGAGCGAGAAAGCCGTAAAGGAGGGTGGCGAGCGGACGTCTAATGAGACCAAAATACGAAGCCTAGGGCGTGAAGCGGAGGAGTCAAAGAGAAATGCCGAAGAGTCATTACAAAGAGTCGATACATTGGAGAAAAAGCTCGCAGCGCTGACAAACCTCCACAAAGACTCGGACGGTCGACGCCAAGCCGGCGAGCGAGAGCGTGAAAGGCTAGAGAAAGAAGCAAGCGAAATGCGACGGCGGCTAGCGGGTCTTGAGAACGAGAACCTGCGCCTTCGAGAGGAGAGAGAAAGGGCACGAAAGAGGGAAGCAAGCGGTGCAGATGACGAAGGCGTCGACGAGCTCGAAGATGAAGAGAGGAGACGGCTGGAAGGCAAGGTTCGAAGTCTCGAGGGCGAGGTCTATGAGCTGCGTAGAGGCGTCTGGCGAGAGAAGCGAAGAGAACTCGGTAGTGTAGACGGTGACGACGGTCCTGCCAGCCCAGGGTCAAGATTTGATGATGTCGACCTCAGTGGTGGGACGCCATCATATCGCAGACAGAGTATGGCTGGTCCTAGAGGTTCAAGCTTCCAAACCGTGCTCAGTAGTGGGTTCAGCGCTTTGACCGGCGGAGCAGCAAGGGATAGTCTGGAAACCTTTGAGGACGAGGATGAGTTTGATGAGGACGCGTTTAGGCTAGCGCAAGAAGAGGAGGCGCGGAAGAGGGTGGAGAGAGTGAGGGAGGTGAAGAGAGGGTTGAAGGATTGGGAAGGTTGGAGAATGGATATTGTGGATGTCAGGGCCGGAGGTGGTGGAGCTGGGGAGATTTTTGACATTTGAAGTGAGGTTGTGTGGGTACAGAACTTCGAGCTTGGATGCAAAGATGTCTTGGAATGACCGTTCTGAATTAAGACATTGTAAATACAAATACCAAACGGATGTACATGTCCTATTCAAGTGCTCACCGCGATAGATGAAACGCATGGGGACCTAGCGATTGCCCCTACCCAGACAGAAATATGGGGTTGAACAAAGCAAAAGCAGAATATCATCATACTTACCTACCAAGGATGCTTGAAGAGGAGGCAAGGAAATTATTACCCCTAGGATGCTTTATGCCTCTCAAAAGTGGTCCCCGCTTCGCTACTCTGTAAGTGGGTTCACAGCGGGGAGTGGAAGAGATCAAGCCAGAATACGTAATCGGCATGTGCGCTCGATCAATTTGTTTAATTTTTTGATAGGAACTCAAGTCGCTCGACCAAATCGAAGTTTGCGGCTCTGCTGTTTAAATCAGACTTTCACCGGTGGTCATCCTAGAAGGGACAGATTGTTTAGTTTAAGTCAGGAGGAAATTTAATTAGGCACCCTTGGTAGGTTGTGAGAGCTAGAGCGCCCGCTGTTGAGGGGGAAATGGCCTTATCGACTTGTTTATTTCGTCTCTTGAGTGAGATTCTGATATGTCCAGAGAGAGCCTTTTTATATACATCGTGTCAAGACTCATGGTCGCCATACCTCCTCGATGCCAACAATTTTTTTTCTCGATGGTTTCAAGGGTGTTTTCTCTTATTGGTGTTGACATTGCCCAGGATCGGCGGTAATAACCAATTGTCCCACCTGCAGCGCCGCATTTGCGCCCGACAGCCACTTCGTCATCGTCCCAGGGTTGGCCTTCCCTTTCCCCTGCTTAGACTCTTTAGAGTATGTCAAGTCCTTATCCATGGGCATGGAACCAGTCCGCACCCTGTGGCCAGTCATGTACGTGTTTGACACATCCTCTACCACATTGTCCCAAGTCTGTGGTACTTTCCAATGCACGTTGCCGGTCTCGGAGACGAGAAAGTAGGTGTCCGGTCCGTAGGCGTCCAAAGAAAGCGTTTTCATCTTCCCACTCGAGGTGAGCAGTTCCATCAAGCCTTCGTAATTCTCCTCCAATCCGTGCGGATACCATGTTCCATCATCGCACACAATCACATAGCTTTCATTGACACCGAACTGTACTCTTCGTGGCCTGCGCTTCCAGCCGTCGTGACATAGCATTTTTTGGATCTCCGCCGTGAAAGAGGCCGGTACATTGTCCCACCGACAACTCTCTGTACACCAAGCGAAGAAAGCGCCTTTCGGCCCCAAAGATACGTTGAGCGAGCCGTCGGTGAGGGATGATTGATTCTCGTGCATCCATTGGAGGAGTGAAGGGTATGCGCCTCTCAAATTCTCATCGTGTTCTCCGTTGTCCCAAATCAAGAACCACGATCCATTGTCACCATACGACACATGATAAGGCTGTGGCTCAACAGTTTCTTCTTTCTTATGCGACATGGCTCTCTTCATACTGCTGAAAAACTTATGACCTTCAAGAGGCGGAGTCTCTGGTTCCGGCTTGTTGGGGTCCGCATCTGGGAGAAGCTTTTTGAACTCTTCAGGCGAGTTTTCGGACCATCGCCTATACAAGGGTGACGAAAAGAAAGAGGTTTCATCTGGGCCGAATGAAAAGAACAGCTTGTTCTTCGGCTCTGGTGGTGGAACAATTTCTTTCTTGCCCATGATGCGACGGAGTACTGAAGTACCTACATGTACCTATGTTCTTCTCCGGAGGTCAATTTTGACCTCAATTAGCCCCCTCACTAAGTTCTCTAAGCGCGCGGCCCTTTGCTTCTGGTGTAACTACAGTACTTCCATCCTTCCTGCATGTGGCTGAGTACTGGACATTTTCTTCCTGGTGGTCAGCTCATCTGTCAGGGCAGTGTCTCGAACTCGCCTGACGACAAATGCCGGAGTAGTATGTGATAAGCGGTGTGCTAGTCACCACCAATGGAGAAGACTATGTCCTTTCCGCCCGTAAAGAAGTAATCTTATCGGCGGGCGCCTTTCAGTCCCCTCAGCTTCTCATGGTATCAGGCGTGGGTCCCAAAGATACTCTGCAAGAATATGATATTCCGTTAATCGCAAACCTTCCAGGGGTCGGCCAGAACATGTGGGATCATGTATAGTTTAGCATTTAGCGTATGAGATACACCACACATCCAAATTCGTACTGTAGCATAGAAATCTCTCCGCAAAATTATTCAATAACACTGCCATCGTTAGTATAGGTCCCAAATGAAAAAATGAAGCTATACTGAAGTCTTAGCGTGTTCCTCAGCCCCTCAGTTACCTGTTTCTGAGCTTCTTGAGCAGAGGCTATTTCAGTAGTTGCGGGGGGGTAG